TATTTTTCATTATTCTATGTATTACATTGTCTCAATTATTTCTGAAATACTTATCAGACATGTATTGGAGCCTTTTAGTGATCTTACAGGTCTCTTAAATGTGCTTTCACCTTTATGTTTGGTTCTCCCTTCATCTCTCTTCAATGTGTTAAATTAATTGGTTCATCTTCCCAATCACCAGTTCCCCAACTGTGTGAGCCTAGAGTTTATTTTGGTAAGTTTTTAATTTCAATCACCATATTTCTAATTCCATTTCACTTCATTTCTGTATGTTTCTCCTAATTTGTCATTGTATCTTATATTATTCCTTTCTTTATCTCTATGAGGGTTCCAAATACACTTATTTCTTCAAATTCTATTTTAAATTAATATATATATGATTTATATCCTGATGATAAACTTCATTGGCTGTCTTTCTTAGTAATAATCACCTGTATGTGCTTTGGAATTTTGTTTAGTAGTTTCACCTTCATTGGGGACAGGATTGTCTTTTTTTTTCTCTATTCTTCCTTCACTGAGAAGTTCTGCGGTTATACCCCCTGACTCCCAGAACCCTGAATCCAGAATCTTGCTGAGTATTTATGTCTCAGGGATCAGCTTAGTTCAAGTCCTGGCTGCTAGGAAGTATCTGCTTCCTCCTTTACCTCTAGTTAAGCAGCTTCATAGAAGACACGCTCCGGGCAGCAGTGAATGGGAACTCTTCCTTTGGCTTCCAGAGAGCTGATGGAATGCACTCCCAGAGCGTCCTGCCCACTGACGTTGAACTCTCGGAGGCCTCCACCTTCCAGACCCAGCTCTGCAACTTCAGCTTCATGTTTCTTGAAAGTTTAGTTGTACTGAGATATAACGGACATACCACTTGGCATAAGTTTAGGGTGTACAATGCATTGATCTTTTCGGCTTCGTGGTCTTGGTACCATTTCTGCCAGTGTTTGCCATCTGCACATGTTTACCAGCATTGGATCAATTTTTTTAAAGATCTTATTTATTTATTTGAGATAGACGGAGATAGCGACAGAGATAGTAAGAGAGGGCATGAGCAGGAAGGAGAGGGGGAGGCAGGCTCCCCACTGAGCAGGGAGTTCAAACTGGGGTTCAATTCCAGGACCCTGAGATCATGACCTGAGCCGAAGGCAGACGCTTAACCGACTGGGCCCCCCAGGCGCCCCTTGATCAATTCTCTATTTTACCTATCATGGCTATGGACTAGAAAAGATCTCAAAACATGAACTGAGAAGGTCATCCTGCTTGGAAGTTCAGATATGAGTGTGTGTGTGTGTGTGTGTGTGTGTGTGTAATAAAAGCGGGGGAGCTTTGGAAAATGTTTCTAAGCTAAGGTTAAGTGCCACCAGAGAGGAAGACACGGAACACATATGCAGGAAAGAAAGCAGAGGGGCTGGTTTGACCTAAGTTCCAGAGATAAATGCATGAATGGAGGAAAGGGTCACCTTCCAGAATAGGAGGCCTGCAGAGAATGACATGGGTTTGTGGATTGTAAGGCTGCTTGGGACCTAGGATTTCTCACTTCTCTGTGAAGTTTAAATCCAGGTAATTTTGGGGGAGCATGGGGAGGAGGAAGCTTGGAGAGCAAAGATAGGGCTTGTGGAACAGGCATCAAGTTTAAGGGGCAGGCCACAGTTTCTTCATCTAGGGAATCTGGGGATGAAACTGTCTAAATGTTCAACTGTCAATTTGGAAAAGCAGTGATTCTCCATTAAAGACTCATTTGTCAATAGCCCCTCTTTTTCTGATTATTCATTGCCTCTTCTGATTGGACAGTATTACTATTTCATACTCAATGTCATCCTTGAAATAAAATTTTGTTACACCATTGCTTCCAGATGAAAATAAACCAAATACCTTTCTAATGTTTTAAAAGTCATGTTGTATCTGAAGGAGTTTTATTTATTGAGGCAAATTTCATTCAATACCATCCATAAATATAGAGCGATGGATGTACGCATAGCTCTGACAGGCTTCAATTCAATCTCAGAAATGGTTTTAAACTACCCAACTGAGAACTCTGCAGAAAGATTTCAAATCTCTGGATTGCATGAAAGGCACTGAGCAGCTCAAGACTTCCCTCATCATAAAAAAAAAAAAAAAAAAAAGAAGCATTTACTCAAATACTCAGAGCTATTTAAGCATGCTGTAAGTCTCATAATTTCAAATCTAGTTTGAAATCGCTGAGAAACTGCAGGTGGTCATTTTACTACTACAAGTGGGAGTACTAACCACTCAGCATCAGCCTAAACCTGACAACTCATTTGTCAGTGGATACGTCTACAAAGGATCAAGAATGGTGGCTGGGCTCCAATAGACTTTCTGCGCTGGTTGATTTTTGTATAATTAACTTGATGCTATCTGCTTGGGGAAGACAAAAATTAAAATCGCCAAGTATAAAATAGAGTCCCGAATATATATTTAAACCATTGATTTCAACGGTTTTAACTACCAAACATTTGCCAAATGAGCTGCTCGTAATTTCTTCCTCTTTTCTAGTGGAAGTCCTAGTCAAAACTAAAGTAATTAGAAAGCACTCAGCGAGAGGAAGAAGTGAAGCAGGCTTGCCTGGTCTCTGCTTTTTGTTACAGCGTCGTTTTATTCACTTGTGTGATAATTGATCTGATACTGTTAGCAATTTCACTCCTAAATAACAAATCATTCTCTGATGTCCTGGCGACCAGAGCCAGTTTCTAAAATGTGAGGCTTAAAGCCTTTGTAACAAGATCGTACCCTTATTTATTTATTTATTTTCGTACCCTTATTTAAATGTATACCGGTCCCTGCAGGGC